CCAGTAGAGCTTCACAGAAGAGTTCCGTCAGCACGACAGCGTGATGACGGTGATGATGTTGCTACCGACGCAGGGCTTCGCCTAAGCACCGCTATGATATGATCGAGGTGGATTACGGTGGAGGGGAGCACCGCATACGGCTTGGTACAATCAACTTGTGTGTCCTAGGGTGCCTCATGCCCCCGTATATAAAGGAACAAGGGGGGAGGCCGGCCGGCCCTTGCAGGGCGCGCCAGGAGGAGGAGTCCTCCTCCTAGTAGGAGTAGGACTCCCCTTTCCTACTCCTACTAGGAGGGGAAAGGATGAAGGAGAGGGAGAAGGAAAGGGGGGCGCCGCCCCCCTTTACCTAGTCCAATTCGGACCAGAGGGGGAGGGGGCGCGCGGCCTGTCCTGGCCGGACCTCTCTCTCTCTCCACTAAGGCCCATGTGGCCCATTACTTCTCCCCGGGGGGGGGGTCCGGTAACCCTCCGGCACTCCGGTTTTCTCCGAAATCACCCGGAACACTTCCGGTATCCGAATATAGTCATTCAATATATTAATCTTTATGTCTCGACCATTTCGAGACTCCTCATCATGTCCGTGATCACATCCGGGACTCCGAACTACCTCCGGTACATCAAATCACATAAACTCATAATACTGATCGTCACCGAACGTTAAGCCTGCGGACCCTACGGGTTCGAGAACTATGTAGACATGACCGAGACACGTCTCCAGTCAATAACCAATAGCGGAACCTTGATTCTCATATTGGCTCCTACATATTCTACGAAGATCTTTACCAGTCAAACCGCATAACAACATACGTTGTTCCCTTTGTCATCGGTATGTTACTTGCCCGAGATTCGATCGTCGGTATGTTACCGGCAACTCTCTTTACTCGTTCAGCATTGCATCATCCCGCAACTAACTCATTAGTTGTATTGCTTGCAAGGAGTATAGTGATGTGCATCACCGAGAGGGCCTAGAGATACCTCTCCGACAATCGGAGTGACAAATCCTAATCTCGATCTATGCCAACTCAACAAGTACCTTCGGAGACACCTGTAGAGCACCTTTATAACACCCAGTTAAGTTGTGATGTTTGGTAGCACACAAAGTGTTCCTCAGGTAATCAGGAGTTGCATAATCTCATAGTCATAGGAACATGTATAAGTCATGAAGAAAGCAATAGCAGTAAACTAAAACGATCAAGTGCTAAGCTAACGGAATGGGTCAAGTCAATCACATCATTCTCCTAATGATGTGATCCCGTTTATCAAATGACAACTCATGTCTATGGTTAGGAAACATAACCATCTTTGATCAACGAGCTAGTCAAGTAGAGGCATAATAGTGACACTCTGTTTGTCTATGTATTCACACACATGTATTATGTTTCCGGTTAATACAATTCTAGCATGAATAATAAACATTTGTCATGAAATAAGTAAATAAATAATAACTTTATTATTGCATCTAGGGCATATTTCCTTCAGCCGCAGCCTCCTCCTGCCTCTGCGCCTTGGCACCGGGCTCCGCCGCCACCGCGGCCAACGGCAGTGGCAATGGTAGCAGGATCTTTCGCTGTGGGGTGGGGGGCTGGCGGCGCTGGGATCTGATCCCCCTGGCGCCGCCCTAGGGTGGGGGCATTGAGGGGGTCGTGAGAGGGTCAGGGCTATCTAATTTGACATATTTTACTTGGAGTTTGGATGGAGGGGACCTCAACATAAGTTACATAATCATGCATGTTCTCCGCTTGATTTGTACATATCGAATGAACTTTCATACAAGGGAAATTCAAAGGAAGAACGTATCCGACCTCACGATTTGCTCATTGGAGTCCCCACGTGTGTTTAAGTTCTCAGTCCTCAACTTAGCGATTTGTCGTTCAATGGTTTTTAACCTTAGCAAAGTTTAGAAAACATGTCAAAATATATTTAAAATTGGTATTATTTGAAAAACCTCGTTACAAGCGACACAAATCTGAAAACAAACTTAATTTAGACTTTTGGTTAAAAGATTGAAAACACTCAAATTCGAAAGCATAAAGAAGAAGCAGGTGAGATGGCCTCGTTGCCCGTGCCCCTGTGTCACAAATCGTCTCCCCATGAATTATCTAACATTACCTTAAAAATGAACTTGAGTTGGCAAAAAGACATTGGTATGAAATAACTTGGCAACCATGTAAATCAGGACCAAAGTTTGGGTCATACAAAAAAAAAGGTACCGAAGTTGGCAACTGAAAAGACGGTTTTGTTAAATTTAAGTCGAATGAGTCTTAGCTACGTTTTAGTCGATGTTATATTCGTGAGATCTTACATGAAGATCCGTGTCTCTTTTTAGTTTTTCTTTTTCTTTTTATGTGTTATATGTTACTCGATTAAGTCCGACTTGACTAAGATCAACCTTTGAGAAAACTCATAGAAAATAAAAAGGATGGGTTTATTAAACAACATTCATTATTATATCATCCCTGGGCTTGGCCCTAAAAGTCAAACAAAAATAATAATCAAACTTTAGGTTCTTATATCCAAGATTACACCCTAATATAACAAAAAGTGTCACTCTACACCAGGGCTCAAATACTCTTAGTATGAACAGTAAAATACAACAAGTATAGAAAATAAAAAAATGTATTTTTTTACAACAAACATTGCTTAGTTTTCTTACTACGTGCAAATTTTCATGATGAAACGACATTTATGTATCTGTCGGCAAAAAAAAGATGTTCCAAAATGCTTTAAAAATAGTGTATTTGGATAATTGATTTTGTGTTTTCTGCCCGGACCTCCACTAATGTCGTACTATCACAAAGAATTACACAAAAAATGAAACACTCATAACGTTATTAAAAATCAGGGTCTTAAAAAATTTAAATTTTACTCTTCATTCAGGGTGCATGTGCAACCGAGACCAGCCTCCATGTCCCTAATATAAGCCCTTTTGCTCAGATAAGATGTCCGTTTTACTCTCTCTTTTTTTTTTTTTGCATGGATGTCCGTTTTACTCTCGCCCTGCGACCTGCGTCACTTATACGTTGTCGGATGTTTTTGGCTCCATATATAGAGGAATAGAAAGGGAGACCGGCGGAATTCGATGTTGTATTATTGAGCCTCAAGGGCGGGTATATATTAAGTACAAAACTTTGAGGACAAGACGCCTTCTAAAGATAAGATGAAAATAATTTCTATCTAATTCCGGACAATCTCTAAGTACCAAATATATCTCTAACACCATGGGCCGCTTTTGCTGACTCAACAGTCACTCATACGTGGACCCTTTTTTCCCTCCCAATTAATTTTGGCCTTAATTAATCAGACAAACGAGATTATATTTTTCAAAAATAAACATAAACAAGTTTATGGCTCAAACTGATCATTTCTGGAGTTTTTAGCCTAAAGTGTGCAATCAATTTGAGTTAATGAATTAATAACACATTTCACTTTCATTGGAAACAGAACAAAAGAAAATTCATACTTTAGGCTTTTCTCTCCCAAGATTAGTACCTTGAAAATGACCAAACATACCTTTTTCTATAAAATATCACTGGTTCCGAAGTTTAACAAGTCAACAATAAGAAAAGGGTGGGACGGAAAGCAATAGAGCACCAAAAAGTCATTTGTAGCCCACTCCTAACAAGAATCCTACAGCGAGATCACTAGAAAAAAATAAGTAATGCTAGACCCACGTAAACTTACGTGAGGATTCTACGTAAAAGGTGATGTGGAGGTAGTTAATTGTACAAGGATTAGTGGTTGAGGCCCACCCCGATTGAAATCAGGGGGAAGAGGATTTATAGTTAGGAAAATTACGTTACTTTACGTAGCCTGCTTGTAGATGGAGCATTATTGAAAAAAAAATCCCCCAGAAAAGAAGCGCTACAACGAGACAAAGAAGTGGCTAGGTTAAGTCGACTAAACAGTTAATTTGGGTCAGTCGGTTATTTCTAGCTGTTAAATGTAAAATGAATAGTCAGATGCTTTCTCCAACCTTTCGATGTCTTCTTCCCCAACCATCCCCACAGACCACCGACCGAATGCCAGTCACCATGCCCGTCGCCGGCGGCTTTCGCACCAGCCTCGCTGCCCCACCCTCCATTCAGCTGTCGTCCCCCGACATCCCTCTACCACCCACATCATCCCTAACATCCTTAAAATAGATAGAGGTCCACTGCCATCTTAAGATAGATAATGGGGTCGCTTGCCGTCATAAGATAAACCCAGAAGGCTTCTCGGAGGAGCTCCTTCCTTCAAACCAAATTCAACCGACCCAAATTCTAAATCCAGGCGAATCACATGTACTCCCTTCGTCCCATAATATAAAAACGTTTTTGACACTAGTGTAGTGTGAAAAACGTTTTTATATTTTGGGACAGAGGGAGTAGCTAATTGTGAAAAAATAATATCCCATATCGCCTACACGTCGCTTGGATCCTGACGTGGCGTCAGTTCCTACTCAGCTTGGCAGACGGCAATCAGACAATCCGTGCTTGGCCAAGCAGGAGGGTGACCTCTCGTGCGCTCCATTGTGCTGCAAGTCAAAAACACTGGACCCGACCGCTCAACCGATCACAAAGAACTCCATCCATGGCCACCGGAGCCGGCGACGACGGGCACGGCGCTGGTGCCCGGGCAACGGCGATCCCGTCCGTGATCCTGAACACTGGCCACGCCATGCCGGCGCTGGGGTTCGGCACGGGCTCGCCAAGCAAGCCGGCGGACCTGGCGGACACCATCGTGCACGCCATCCGCCTCGGCTACCGCCACCTGGACACGGCCTCCATGTACCGCACGGAGCCGACGGTGGGCGCCGCCGTAGCCGAGTCCGTCCGCGCCGACCTCTTCGTCACCTCCAAGCTCTGGATCTCCGATGCGCGCCCGGCCGCGTCGTCCCGGCGCTCCGCGAGTCCCTCGCCCGCCTCGGCCTAGCCTACCTTGACCTCTTCCTCGTCCACTGGCCCGTGGCCGCCACCGCCGGCGGCCTCCCCGTGGACAAGGGCACGCTGGTGGAGTTCGACATGGAGGGCGTGTGGCGCGGCATGGAGGAGTGCCATCGGCTGGGCCTGGCGAGGTCCGTCGGGGTGAGCAACTTCTCGGCGGCCAAGATGGAGAGGCTGCTGGCTCTCGCCGCCGTGCCGCCGGCGGTCAACCAGGTTGAGATGAACGTCGGGTGGAGGCAGGAGAAGGTGCGGGAGGTGTGCGCCCGGCACGGCGTCGTCGTCGCCGCCTACTCGCCGCTCGGCGCGTACGGCGCCTTCTGGGGCTCCGACGCCGTCATGGAGAGCGGCGTCTTGCACGACGTCGCCGCCGCGAGAGGCAAGACCGTCGCGCAGGTAAACGTGAAGAAACAAATGTTTTCTTTTCCTAAAATTCACCACTAAAAATTGCTGTGAAGTTTATACTAAGATAAATTATTCAAAATTAGCTTGTGTCAGATTATTTCAGTTCCTACATATAAGTTTCAGCTTGTCTAATTCACATCTAGATGTTTTCTAAGAGCATCTCTAACAGGCGCCCAACGCGCCGCGCGTAAAAGACAGTTATAGCGCGCGCCCATCGCCTGATTTGGCGCGGCACGCAGCGCTGGCTCCAACAGCCGCGCTAAAATGTAGCGCGCGCGCCGCTCCAGCAGCACGCGCGACACGTATGGATGAGGGGTGGGAGGTGCGAGCGAGCGCGCGAGAGTCCAGCGCACGAAAGCGGGCATAGCAAATATGCGGCGCGCGATTCGTTTTGGTCCGCGCGCTGGACTACGCATGCCGCGCGCACTGTTTTCACGCGCCCGCTGGAGCAACTATTCCGGTTGCGCGCGCTAAAACGGAGGATTTTGCGGCGCGGCGCTAGTTTGGCGTGCCTGTTGGAGATGCTCTAAGGATGTCACATCTAATCTCCCATGAGTAACGTAAGTAACAAGGAAAAAAAATCTGGGACAAAAAAACAGACCACAAACATAATGAACATTGGGTTAAATGTGACATAAATATGTTATATCTAGATGTGTCCTAGACAGACTTTCATAATGACTAAATCACATCTAGATCTTTTTTAAGGATGTCATATTTAAGTTATCCATCACATGATTATGGGCTTTAAGATTTGTGCAAACTGTTGTCGTTTTCTTTGACTTGAACTGTTGTTTTTGTTGTCGCTAAGGCCCGTGTCGCACTAGTGTTCTTGGGCTGTTTTCCCGATCGGCATTGTCCCTTTTTCTGAATGGGATCTTAGTATGTGGGTTTTTATATTTTGTTATATACGCTGGTGCGTTCTGCCATTTTTGCTCTTCTTTTTGTCTGCGCCTAGGCCTTTTTGTACGGGCAGAATTCAAAGAGCTGGGCCGCGTTATTTTCCGCTTCCTTTTTTCTTCTTTATCTATTAAATTTATTTGTTTGTAATCTATGATTTTTTAAATTTGATTATTTTTGGCGACATCAGTTTTATGTCCAGCCGTTTGATTTGTTTGTGCTTTGTTTTTCACGCTCGAGTGACCGCATGTGTCGCGATCTATCTGTGTCCTGTCGTATCGTCTTGTCGGGCTGGGAGGCCTACAACGGAGCGCGAGAATTTTTTGTTTTCTTTTTGTTGGCCCGCCGTCACCTTGTTTGATATGGGCTTTTTTTAGAATACGAAGAGTCTAGCCCCAGAGTACATTAGATTGAGACGGTAGCCTCCATCGAGTCTGTCACTCTCATTTCGCATGTTTCCCTCCGCCTGTTGTCCCGTTCCCCTCCCATGTTCTTCCATTTTTCTGTCTGTTTTTGTTTCGAAATCTAAAGCACATCGACTCGCAACTAGAGGAGGGGGTGGTGTATGTGTGTTTGTCGATGGCCCTAGTTACAAGACTACAACCGACTCGCAACTGAAGTTGTACCATCAACCCACAACTAGGGGGCGGTGTCTATGTGTGTTTGTCGCGATCCCCAATTGCATGTCACCCATCTACTCGCGACTAAGGATGTGTGTGTTTGTCGAGGGCTCCCAGTTGCAAGTCAACCATCGACTCGCAACTGGGGGAGGGGGCGTTCTCAATGTGTGTTTGTTGAGGGCTCCTAGTTGCGAGCCAACCATTGAGTCACAACTCATGAAGGGGGAGGGGAGTTGAGTGTGTTTCTACGAGTCCAGTTGCATGTCAACCACTGACTCGCAACTAGGAATGTGTGTGTGTTTGTCAAGGGTCCGCAGTTGCATGTCAACCATCACCTCGCAACTAAGGGTCTGTGTGTTTGTTGGGGCCCCTCAGTTGTAAGCCGACCATCGACTCGCAACTAAGGGTGCTTTTGTGTGTTTGTTGTGGTCC